GACTATGCTCTTTTCTATCGCGAGGAGGGCCTTCTCGAGGAGGTCTACAGTGAGTGTGGTGGGACAGACTGAGAGAAAGTGGTCCCTGACTACTCGAAGGGAGTCAGGGAGGCGAGTGACTAGGAAGTACAGAGTGATGTACATGGGGGGGGGGTTCGCGGTGCAGAAGTCAGCAGGAAGTGCAGCGCGGTAGCGAGTGTCACTAGTGCGGAGGTGCGTAATGAGGTCAGCAACGGTGGGAAAAGAAGCAAGGTCAGGGAAGAGGTACGGCAGCATGAGACGGCTCAGTGCAGCAGTGGAAGGGGAGGAGTAGCGCGTGACTACAGCGGCGTACAAGGTCTGAGCACTCTTGTACTGACTAAAGTGCGCACGCTCGGAGGTAGGGAGGTGGCGACGCACAGCAAGACGTGCAGCAGCATCGCGCGTGGCCCACTGGGAGCGAACAGTGGCGTCAGCATCAGCAGCAGGGGCAGGGGAAGCGCCAGAGGTGAGGTCAAAGAGAGAGAGGCCGTCCGCCCTATCGCACTGTAAGAACAGCTGTAGGTCATCTACCCAGACCTCAAAGTCAATGGCCCGACCCTCAGCGTCAAAAGTGAGGACACTAGGGGTAGCCATGATAGCAGTAGACCAGCAGTGCAAGGAGTAGGGGAAGAGCACGCAGTGACAGAGGGTCTGTGCTCACCGGACAGGGCTGCTCGGGCGGCTCGGCTGCAGGGCGGCTCGGCCGCTGGGCGGCTCGGCGGCTGGGCGGCTCGGCGGCTGGGCGGCTCGGCAGCTGGGCGGTCGGCTGCACGGCGGCTCGGCTGGTGGGCGGCCGGGCGGCTCGGCTGCAGCGCGGCTCGGCGGCGGGGCGGCTCGGCTGCTCTGCTGCTGGGCGGCTCGGCTGCGCTGCTGGTGGGCGGCTCGGCTGGGCCGCTGACGTAGGGCGGCGGGGCCGCTGTAGAGGAGTGGCGGGGCCGCTGTAGAGGAGTGGCGGGGCCGCTGCAGAAGGACGGCGGGGCCGCTGGGTAGTGAGGCGGCGGGGCCGCGAAGACGGGCGGCGGGGCCGCTGCAGAGAAGCGGCGGGGCCGCAGTGAAGGGCGGCGGGGCCGCAACGAGAGAGGCGGCGGGGCCGCAGTGAGAGAAGCGGCGGGGCCGCGAAGTCGGGCGGCGGGGCCGCTGAGTAGGGCGGCGGGGCCGCAGTGAGAGGCGGCGGGGCCGCAGCGAGAGAGGCGGCGGGGCCGCGAAGACGGGCGGCGGGGCCGCTGAGACGGGTGGCGGGGCCGCAGCGAGAGATGGCGGCGGGGCCGCAGCGAGAGATGGCGGCGGGGCCGCGAAGACGGGCGGTAGGCGGCGCGAAGCCGCAGGTAAGGGCGGCGACGGGCCGGGGCGGCTCGAAGCCGCAGGTAGAGGCGGCGCGAAGCCGCGGGAAGGGCGGCGACGGGCCTGGGCGGCGTGAAGCCGCAGGTAGGGGCGGCGAGAAGCCGCCGGTGAGGGCGGCGCAAAGCCGCGGGTAAGGGTGGCGACGGGCCGGGAAAAGGGCGGCGCGCCGCAGCCGCTAGGGCGGCTCGACGCGACCGTAAGGGCGGCGCGACGGGCCGCTAGGTGCGACTCGACGGGCCGCTAAAAAAAAAAGGCAGGCGCGACTCGAGGCGCGCTTCGGTGGGCCCAAGGAACAGTCCCTAGGAGGGGACCTGCTCTGATTCCATGTTACAATGAGAACGAGAATGGTGTGAACTATGAAAATGAAGTGAGTACAAATATGAAACCCTAATTGGTTGTACCCCCTATGGGATACCCCACTATAGCCTACACAACAGCATAAGCTATAATGTTCTGACAGCTGTTTCCTCCAGTGCGGATGCTACGGGACAGAAGCATTCATTACGCATGCATGTATAGATGCTGGCAGATACCCTAACTAGTGGCCCTATGGACAAGTGGGCACAAATGTCGGTTTCAAACGGAATCGTACTCGTTATCTGGATTCTCAGATGAAGAATAGTATGCGATCTGAAAATTTATCTCAAGTAAAATCATTTGTCTTACTGATCATCTGAAAATAAAATCACAGTCTTACAGATCATCTGAAATAAGAAAATGAAGTCTGAAACGCAGACCATCAGACCAAATTGGTCTGATAACGAGGGCCCTGGATGTTTCCCTCCCGTGTCAGGCTCGGGGTCTGCGGGTGCTGATAGGGTGGCTGTCGTTGCTCCCTGTCAGAATCCCAGCCACTAACCACTGGGATAAAAGGGCTTGTTAAAGCGACGGTGCACATTTGCCACCCAAAACCCAGAACCCTGGCGAACTGTTACTGCGGATGGAAAGTGTCCGCACGAAATCCTGGTTTTCGCCAGCCAGCACTTTCGCGCTGGCAAGCCTGGTTAAAAAAAAAAACTTCTGAACCCAACACTGCCAAAAGTTGCCCGTCGCTTTAAGTAGCGGGTCAGTGCGCCCATAACTGTCAGAATCCCAACCACTAGACCATTGGGATAAAAGGGCTTGTTAAGTAGCGGGTCAGTGCGCCCATAACCCCCCAGGACAACGAGCCTGTAACCCTTCCCTAGGATCAATCGGGGATCACCAGTGGACCTCTGACACCCCCCCGCACTGGGATGCCCGAAGTGCACACACTGGGATTCGAACCCGAGACCTTCGCTCTGATACCATGTCAGAATCCCAACCACTAGACCATTGGGATAAAAGGGCTTGTTAAGTAGCGGGTCAGTGCGCCCATAACCCCCCAGGACAACGAGCCTGTAACCCTTCCCTAGGATCAATCGGGGATCACCAGTGGACCTCTGACAATAACCCCCCAGGACAACGAGCCTGTAACCCTTCCCTAGGATCAATCGGGGATCACCAGTGGACCTCTGACACCCCCCCGCACTGGGATGCCCGAAGTGCACACACTGGGATTCGAACCCGAGACCTTCGCTCTGATACCATGTCAGAATCCCAGCCACTAACCACTGGGATAAAAGGGCTTGTTAAGTAGCGGGTCAGTGCGCCCATAACCCCCCAGGACAACGAGCCTGTAACCCTTCCCTAGGATCAATCGGGGATCACCAGTGGACCTCTGACACTCCCAAGGTGCAAGCCATGAACCACTGAAAAGAATACGTACACATCATTGTAAAGAGCAGTACCTGTATTAGTTCTGCTATTAAGTTTCGCGAACTTGTTCCACATTCTTGCGAGGCCCTAATCTCGTTGGACTGCCTGTATTCTTGTTGAATTTCCTGAAGGCTTTATCGTTGCAAACTTGATTCCCCTCATCTTTGCATCTACCTTCAAAGGTCCTACTTACCATAGTTCCAAATAGCATGCTGCAGGATGTTGAGACGAGCCACAACTGTCCTGATTCTGGTTTATTGCACGAAACAGTTCCACTCACGCACTTGTATTGAATCTTGTTGCGACGAGTTAGGGTAAGCTAGCAGTGAGACTTCCAGGTGCGCATTTCTTGTAGGGAATCAAGAAAGATCAAAACGAACTGCAACCACGACGGGAGTCGAACCCGCGACCTTTCGATCCGAAGTCGAACGCGCTAATCCACTGCGCTACGCGGTTATGTCACAGAACTCTTTCAAGTTTGTATAATTTGTATAATTGGCTTCTACTTCAGCACTGAACAATCTAGATTCTTCCCATCCTGATTCCCACCATTCGCATCGCAGGTAATTCGTGTACAACTCACATCTCTATGCCATCGCTGTCACCTTTCTACAGCTGGTTTGCCGGTCTGCAAGCTTCTGGAGATTCTAGAGGCCTGTACTTTGTTCTGGACTGCTGAATCCGTGCAAGCTGCGCTTGTCTGTATCCTTGCCTTTTCTTCTAGGCCATTCGCGAACCCCATGGATCAACTTACGAGGCGTTTGCCACGCCGTTTTACGTCCTCGTTTGATAATATTTATCCGTCGCATTCCACGATGAAGTTACTTCCAATTGCTTACGATTGCACCATATTCCTCAAGATCTGTCGCAATACGTTTTCGAGCTTCTGTATTGATCCAGGCCGAAGGAGTCTTAGGCCGAAGCAATATATCAAGACTTGCTCATTCCGTCGACGTACCAGCAATATCAGCACAGAGTCACCATCAACGCAACCGGTTTTCAAAGCGTCAAGCGTATCAGCATATCACCGCGTGAATTGGGCTCTCCGGTCAATCGAGGCGACTCGAGCGAAGAAATCCTTCTTACACGGTTGAGCGTGGTTGAGAATTGTCCAGGACGAACTCGCTGCAATGGGTCGCGGCGGAGGCGAGCAGACGTCATCATCTCAGCATCACTCCACGACAAAAACCACCGCCGTTTCTCCTCCTCCTCCGTTCCTGACTCGACTAAAAAGTCACCTGGCAGGCGAAAAGGCGTCATCATTTGAAAGTAACCCCAAGACAGGACCCGCCGTCGGTTTCCCTCCTCCACCTCCTCCTCCGTCTCCTCAATTTCCATCCTTCCGTCCGTCACAGTTAACTCTTCCGCCGACGAAGTCTCCCGAGCGTCCGCCTGCCATGATGCCTGGCAATTTTCCGTTCTTTGCTGGTCCCGGCGGTTGGTTCGCGCCTCCATTCTCTCCCATCCCCGCGTATCCCGGTGCTTACGTGGCTGCCGTTCCAAGCAGTAAGGCCAAGGCTGCTGCTGACGCGGAAGAGTCGGGTTTATATCATCCAGCCAATACCACTCCTGCTTCTGCTTCACCTTCTTCTCCGTCTCCCGCGTCAGCCTCTCATGCTGCTGCTTCTTCTGCTACGACAGCCGCTGCTTCTGCCTCTGCGTCTGCTTCTGCTCCTGCCGCTGCTTCTGCTGGTGCTGGCGTGGATAATACTACTGCTCCACACACTCCCGGCGCAGTACCTACGGTTTCTACTGCTCCATTCTGCTTTCCCCCAACTGCGCAGCACCGCCACCAACACCCGGCTCAGTTTCCCCCTCCTCACCTCCCCCAGTGGAGTCCCTTCGTCCCTCCCTATATGCCCCCCTGGGCCCCTTACGCGCCCTGGTTTCACCCGACCGTGATGACGTCAGCAGTGCCGGGAAACGCCCCGGAGGTGACGCAAGCAGGAGGGTTCGGCGGGCAGGCGGCGCGAGCGGCCAGGCTGGAGCTGGTGGAGGTGGGATCTCCGAAAAAGGCTGCTTCTGGCGAAGCTTCCGGGAATGAAGAAGTGGAGGATGTGGAGGGACGTGTGTTAGAGGACGCAGAGAAGAAGGATGATTCGATTCCGGAGGCCCAAGGTTCAGATGAGATGGTGGGAAAAGGGGAAAAGGAGGCAGCAGCAGCAGCAGCAGCAGCAGCAGCGGGTGTGAAGGCTCAGATGGGAGCAATTATGTCTGGGGAATGCCTGGGCGGGAAGGGGTTAGTTGGTGTTACAGCGGCAAGCGGAGGTGGTAACATCAACTCAGCCAACTCAGCCGCTGCTTATCCGTTCATGCTCCCGTCTCATCCGCACGCGGACCCCATTGCTATTCCAGGTTTCGTGAACGGTTTTGGCGGGAATCCCCAGGGTGCGTTGGGAAACGCTGCAGCTGGCCCGCTGGGTGATGATGCTTATGCACCGCCTTTCTGGTTCGCCCAAGCGCCTTGGGTCAACCAATCGCGTTGGATCAACCAGGCGCCTTGGCTTAGCCAATCGCCTTGGCTGCCTGCTTCTACAGATAAGCTTCCCCAGCTTGGCTCTGGGCCTGGTTATCCCCGTTATTGGCTTCCTCAGTTCTATCCTGCGCAACCCGAAGCTGCAGTTCAGTTCTTTGCTCCTCGTCCCGCAGCAACGGCCGGTGATTCCCCGAGCCTACCGTGGAGCCTTGGCCCGAACCTGGGCGCGTATCCAGGTGCGTGGGGTGCCGAACCTGGGTCCAGCGCATATGCAGCATTGCCTGATCCAACGGAAATTGCTGCAGGTTTTTCCTCCTTCCCTCCGGGTATTGCAGCCTCTCAAGGGTCTGTAGCACCTGAAGCGGTTTCTGCTGCGCTTGAGGCGGTTTCTGCGGCACCTGAGGCGGTTTCTACGGCACCTGAGGCGGTTTCTGCGGCACCTGAGGCAGTTTCTGCGGCACCTGAGGCGGTTTCTGCGGCACCTGAGGCGGTTTCTGCGGCACCTGAGGCGGTTTCTGCGGCACCTGAGGCGGTTTCTGCGGCACCTGAGGCGGTTTCTGCGGCACCTGAGGCGGTTTCTGCGGCACCTGAGGCGGTTTCTGCGGCACCTGAGGCAGTTTCTGCGGCACCTGAGGCGGTTTCTGCGGCACCTGAGGCGGTTTCTGCGGCACCTGAGGCGGTTTCTGCGGCACCTGAGGCGGTTTCTGCGGCACCTGAGGCGGTTTCTGCGGCACCTGAGGCGGTTTCTGCGGCACCTGAGGCGGTTTCTGCGGCACCTGAGGCGGTTTCTGCGGCACCTGAGGCGGTTTCTGCGGCACCTGAGGCGGTTTCTGCGGCACCTGAGGCGGTTTCTGTGGCACCAGCATCATCAACAGAAGGAGCAGGAGCAGCAGCAGAAGCACCAGCATCAGCAGCAACAGCTGCTGCTGCAGCGCCTGAGGCCGTTCCTGTGGCATCAGCACCAACAACAGCAGCAGGAGCAGGAACAGCAGCAGAGGGGTCAGCAGCAGCCGCTGAAGCAGTTTCTGCAGCACCTGAGGCAGCTCCTGCAGAACCTGAGGTTGTTTCTGGAGCACCTGAGGTGGCACCTGAGGCTGTTCCTGTGGCTCCTGAGGCGGCGCCGGCAGCACCTGAAGCAGCTGCTGCAGCACCTGAGTTGGTGGCTGCAGCAGCCGAGACGGCACCCGAGTCGGCACCAGCGGCACCTGAGGTGGTAACTGCAGCACCTGATGCGACACCTGAGGTGGCACCTGTGGCACCTGAGGCAGTTTCTACTGCTCCTGAGGCAGTTCCGGCAGTGCCTGGGGCTGGTTCTGTGGCACCTGAGGCGGCACTTGAGGTTACACCAGCAGTATCTGAAGTGGTACCTGGGGCAACTGAGGCAGCTTCTGTGGCACCTGATGCAGTTGGAGCAGTACCTGAGGCTGATTCTGCGGCACCTGAGGTTACACCAGCGGCAACTAAGGCAGCGCCAGCGGCACCTGAGGCTGTTCCTGCGGCACCTGAGGTGGCGCCTGTGGCACCTGAGGCTGCACCTGGACCTGAGACGGCACTTGCGGCAGCGCCGGTGGCACCTGCACTGGAAGCACCTGCACTGGAAGCACCTGCACTGGAAGCACCTGCACTGGAAGCACCTGCACTGGAAGCACCTGCACTGGAAGCACCTGCACTGGAAGCACCTGCACTGGAAGCACCTGCACTGGAAGCACCTGCACTGGAAGCACCTGCACTGGAAGCACCTGCACTGGAAGCACCTGCACTGGAAGCACCTGCACTGGAAGCACCTGCACTGGAATCACCTGCACCCGAAGCACTTGCCACCATGCCAACCACCAGCACCGAGCTGGCACCTGAGGCACCTGCACTCGGAGCACCTGCATTCGAAGCACCTGCACTCGAAGCACCTGCACCCGAAGCACCTGCACCCGAAGCACCTGCACCCGAAGCAGCTGTCACCATCCCAACCACCAACGCCGAGCCTCCTGAGCTGCCGAGGCAACTGGACGACCCAACCACAGCAACAGTCGCAGCCACCCGCATCCAATCCGCATGGAGAGGCCACTCCCTCCGCCTCACCAAGCCTCTCGAAGCGGCTCGGACCATAGCCGAGGTTTGGCGGCTGGCTCGGGAGATGGCAGAGAGGCTCGATGAGGAGGGGTATGCGGTCAAGGTGGCGTCCGAACCAAAGGAGAAGCTTCGGGTGAGTGAGACGATCATGAGCTGGTTGCTCCGGCTGGATGCGCTGCTCTCGCCGAACCAGGAGGTCCGGGAGCTGCGCCGGGGAGTGGTTCGGGAGCTGACAAAGCTGCAGGATCGGGTGGATTCTTTGAAGCCCACTGCTATGGCTGCTGAACCTGTTGCTTTGCCTGCCGAACCTGGTGTGGGAAAAGCTGCTGAACCTACCCCGCCCGCCTCCACGTCTTCCCAGTCCTACACCGTTCCAGTCCCTGCTGCTGCACCAGAGCAGCCGCCACAGAAGAAGCAGCAGCAGGAGAAGGACCAGTCACCGTTGCAGCAGCAGCAGCAGCAGCAGCAGAAGCAACAAATTCTTTCCGAGGAAGACAAGGGGAAGGAAATGGCAGCCGCTAAGACGGCAGCAGCTTCCAATCCGCCTGCTAAAACAGGAGGGAAGTCACAGAGCAAGCCGGGTGCTTCGCTTCCTTTCAAGAAAGGCTTTCTGCTTGGTGAACCGACCAAGAGAGCGAAGAAGAGAGCAGATGCCGAGAGGACGATCAGCCCCGCGGGCAACTGTGAACGTGGCAGCAGCAGCGATGATGAAAAGGATAGGAGAAGCAGCAGCAGTGGTGGCAGCAGCAGCAACAGCGGCAGCAGCAACAGCGGCAGCAGCAGCAACGGTGGTGGCAGCAGCAGTTGCAGTGGTGGTGAGCTTTTGGATGGGAAAGGCGGGGAGCGGAAAGTCAGTGCTGGGGACGTGCACAAGGTTGATGTGCAGCTCTGTGGGCGTGGGAGCGAGGGTCCTGAGGAGGTGCGAGTGGTGTTCTGCAGCAGTGAGGAGAAGGGGCGAGCAAGGAAAGAGGAGAGGGAGGGGGAGAGGATTGAGGAGGAAAGGAAGGAGGAGTGGAAGGGGCAGAGGAAGGAGGAGGGGAAGGAGAAAGAGAAGGAAATGAAAAAGGAGAGGAAGGAGGAGGAAACGAAGGGGGACGAGGAAGGTCACAAGGAGGGGAGAGGTAAGGCGAGCTGTACTGGAGATGTGAGGAATGTTGACGTGCAATTTGGTGGGCGTGGGAGCGAGGGGCCTGAGGAGGTGAGAGTTGTATTCTGCAGCAGTAGAGGGGGCAGCAGGGCTGGCGGGGCAGGCGGGTCAGGTGGGTCAGGCAGGGCAGGCGGGGCAGGCGGGTCGGCAGGCTTGAGTGGTAAGGAGGGAGAGGGTAATCTTCATGGTTCAGGGGTGGTTGGTGTCAACGAGGAGAAGGGGAACAGTGGGAAAGAGGGTGAGGTGAAGAAAGTCGAGGAGACGAAGCAGGAGAGGAAGGAGGAGAGGGAAGAGAAGGTTAAGGAGGGGAAAAAGGAGGAGAGGAAGGAGGAGAGGAAGGAGGAGAGGGTTCAGACGAAGGAGAAAATTGCTGATGGGAGGAATCAGGTTGATGAGGGCGTTCTTAAGGGAGGCAAGGGGAAGGAGATCGAAGAGGGGAGGGGGAGAGAGGAGGACGATGCCAAGAAAGGAGTCCCTGGAGCTAACTTCAGTGATTCACCTATCTTACTCCACTATTTGCCGCATCTGCCACCCATTGGAACCTGCTCCCACCACATCCCACACCCCCACAGTTCCCCTGCACCCATCTCCACCCCCCTCTACCTCCACCTTCCCTCAACAACCCCTGTAACCGATAAGAACCCCCCTGCTGCCCCGTTCAGTCACTCCTCCTTCCAGCCCTCGCGTTTTAGTCACGCGGCATCTCAGCCCAGGAGGGTTGCACCTGGGCTATCTGAGATTTCACCTGAGGAAATCGCCTGGCAGATGGAGGCCTTGAGACAGGAGAATGCCCAGCTGCGCCAGCTGTTGTTCGAGTGGGGGCTGCAGCAGCAGCAGCAGCAGAAACACGCAGCAGAGGCTGCTGGTAAATTTGGTGACGTAAAACCTTCATTGCTGGGCGGCGGAGCAGGAGGAGCAGAGGGAGGAGGAGGAGGAGGAGGAGGAAGATCTGAGGGAATTGAGGAAAGGCTGAAGTGCTTAGAGAGGGAGATGGCAAGGATGAAGGCTTGTCATGATTGTGATTATAAGGGGGGTTGGGGTGGGTATAGAAACGTGTGGGGTGGTTATTAGAAGGAGCAGGAGGAGGAGCAGGCTGAAGTGGTTAGAGAGGGTGATGGCTAGGATGAAGGCTTGGCATGATTGTGATTGTAAGGGGAGGTGAGATGGGTATTGAAACAGGTGGGGTGTTACTAGAAGGTCACTAGATCACTAGAAGGGATGAAGTATTGCCTGTGAGGATGGCGTTTGCCTTGACTATGTGCTGGCATCTGTAACCTTCAATGTGGTTTTTGTCTGGGTTTGCCTGGGTTAGCTCATTACCTGTGAGGATGGGGCGTTTGCCTTGATGATGTGCGGGCATCTGGGTTTCATTGTCATTTGTAAGTTGATTTAAGTGCCCTTTCGTATTACAGATTCTCGTCTTCTGGTATTGCCACGCCAAAGCTCTTTGTCCTTAAACGCCCATACCGGTACCTCATGCTAGGTACCGTATACATGCACATCCAAATTATTGTCCCATATACATCCAAAATTATTGTCCCGAGGTGCCCGCAAGGCCAGGCCAGGCCCTTTTCCTATGCGTGATGAGTAAAGAATCATTGCCACCGACCAGCGCCTGGATTTGACATTTGAGGCGCCTCAAAAGCCTTTTCCTACGCTTGTTGAGTAATGAATCACTGCCACTGACCAGCGCCTGGATTTGACTTTTGAGGCGCCTCAAAAGCCTTTTCCTACGCTTGATGAGTAATGAATCACTGCCACTGACCAGCGCCTGGATCTGCAGGCTTTCATGGTTTGCTTATTTCAGGATTTGTTCACTAAGAAGCTGCAACAAGAAGATGGTACCAAGTAGTGTAGCAACTCTTTAAGTAATACCAATGTGAATCACGGACAGCCAAGAAGGTGCGGTGCTGCACAGCAGATGGAAGAACAAGTGAGACAACTGATTGGGGGGACACAGGAACACGGGAGGAGTTGAGGGAGAAGAGGGTGGAAGACTTGAGAAGCTGCAACGAAAAGGTGGTACCAAGTAGTGTAGCAACTCTTCAAGTGATACCAACTTGAATCAGGGACAGCTAAGATGGTGTGGTGCTGCACAGCAGATGGAAGAACAAGTAGAACAAGCAGCGGATTGGGGGGCCACAGGAACACGGGAGGAGTCGAGGGAGGAGAGAGTGGAAGACTTGAAGTGGTGCTGAGACAGGAGGAATGGGAGCAAAGAAGGAGGGGGGGTAGATGAGGGCGCTTTTGAGTCGAATCAAGAGGAGTCGAGAGAGGAGAGGGTGGAAGACTTGAAGTGGTGCTGAGACAGGAGGAATGGGAGCAAAGAAGGAGGGGGGGTAGATGAGGGCGCTTTTGAGTCGACTCAAGAGGAGTCGAGAGGGGAGAGGGTGGAAGACTTGAAGTGGTGCTGCGACAGGAGGAATGGGAGCAAAGAAGGAGGGGGGGTAGATGAGGGCGCTTTTGAGTCGACTCAAGAGGAGTCGAGAGAGGAGAGGGTGGAAGACTTGAAGTGGTGCTGAGACAGGAGGAATGGGGGCAAAGGAGGAGGGGGGGGGGGGGGGGGGGGGGGGGTAGATGAGGGCTTGAAATCGGTGCACATGCAAGAATAGTAGCAGCATTGCACTGTAGGGGAAGGGCCTGGAGACAGGAAAACGTCAAGGTGACTTTTGAGTCGACTCAAAAGAGGGACCAGGGGGGGTAGATGAGGGCTTGAAATCGGTGTACATGCAAGAATAGCAGAAGGAGATAACTGTAGAAGGGATACAATGAAGAAACAGGAGAGCACCAGGAACAATGGTGACCTGTAAAGAAAATTACTACTGAACCCACAGGATTTTTCTAAAACTTGTTTGTTAGGTCACAAGGACCCACTAGCAAATGAAACCTGAACGTCTGATTTCCTTTCTAGCTGCCGGTTCGTGAGCCATGCCTTCATGACTGTCATCACTGTACAGGAAATCGCATCACGGCTGTACTGAAGTTCGATCTGATGAACTTATCCCCAAGACTGGTCACGTGAAAGAAGAGTGTTTTTGAGACGTCTAAAAAATCGCATCACGGCTGTACTGAATTTGAATCTTCAAGACTGGTCTCATAGCTTTGTTGTCACTGACCTGATCCCATGACGTCATCGCTGATGTCATGATGCAATCCCCGAAGTTTCTGATAGGATGTGGTGGGATTTGATTTCACCGGCGATACAGCCCAAAGATATGTCCCTGTAGCATTCCAATACACAGGAGGCGGGGAAGGGGGAGAGGGATGTGGAAAATCAGAAAGCGTGGGTAACGACAAGATGCAGTCAAAGGGATATCAATGGGAGGTGTACACTATGGCTTGTCCTCATATCCAGGTTAGTAGGCTGCAAGTGTTCTGCAAAAATGGGTAATGTTTTTGCATGCATGAAACGTTGCACCACTTTTACTCACATTATGGCAGATTGTAACTCTGGCAAGAATACACTCCAGTGTATCGCATATGTTGTTATCCAGCACAAGCTGAGCATCCCATATCTGTTGAAGGCATGTAGGGGAGGAGAAAGGGGGGAAAAGAGGGAAAAGGGGGAAAGTGCGGAGACAGGGGAAAGAGGGGTGGAAGGGAGGGAGGAGGAAGAGGTGGGGGGGGGGGCATAAAATGTGGGGATGTGTTTAGATTGTAGAACCTATATGGCAAGGAATTCGGGTACAATGCACTTCAGACTAGACCGTTGCAGGAGTCATAAAAGCTTGCTATGAGTTCTGCAGTGTAGCTTTCGTAAAAAAACATTTTCTGCATGCATTGGTTACTGTAGATACCTGGGCTGGGCAGAAAGGGCAGATGTCGCCCTCCAGAGGTTCCGAGCTGTTTTCCAACACTGAACGCACACTGATGTCAGGAGGCATGTTGGCAAGGGGACAAGAGAGTGGGGGGGGGTGGGGGGGCAGGCGGGATTTTTTTTTTGGGGAGGGTGTTCAATTGAATAAATAAACTGAGCTGGTAGGAGGTTAGGCGGGGCAGGTGGGCGGGGGAGCATGGGGCATGGAGCAGGGGGGACATGGGACAGGAGTAAGATGTGGTGGGGGACTGTGTAGTAAGGGGAGCGACAAGCGAGAAGCGATTTCAGGAACGGGTTGGAGATTTAATGTATAGGAAGTATAAGAAAATTAAATGTAGGGGTCAAGTGAATAAATAGCAGGAAAACTGTTTGTGAATCATAATACACACTTCCTTGTATTGCTCACTCACTGACACAACACCTCCATCAGGCAAACCCTCTAGTCTATTTCCTCGTAACTCTCCCAATCACTGTACCCACAGCGGTCATATTTATATGGCATGTTTGAGTAAATCCCTCCGGAGATTGGATTAAATGACATGACAAACGTGTAGGGGAGGCCGTGCCTCTTGATCTAGAATAGGCGCTTTACCCATTATGTTTTATGTAGAATGTTTGATCATTATAAGACGCCTGATGTAAGATGCATGAATCCTTGTTCCGCTGCAAGCTGAAGTGTGACCCGCGAGTTCGTATCTGCTCAATGGCCTACCCAACCAGTCTACAATATGGATTGGCCACTCTAGAACGTAATGGAAACTCATTGAACCTTATTAGAACTGACTTTTGTGATTCCCCCTAACCCTGTCAACCCAAAACCAACCACCCTGTCTGCAACACAAGCGTCACCTGCTCCAAACTACCCAGGCGATCGGATAATAGAAATAATCACCGCAGCAGTACGTGCTTAGTGACAAAAAAATCACCTGAGCGCGATCCCGAAGGACGCCTCTGAAGTAATTGCCCGTTGAGACTGAAACTGTGTATAGCGAAATGATCGTACCTTTTATCCTTGTTCAAACTTACTCAGACGATTGGAAATCAGCGATGAATCCACGCAGTACCATGAACGTGAGGTGGAAATGGCTTTGCCTCTCCGCGACTACGAACGACGCACTCTCCGGGTCGACCAGCGGAATTATTTTCAGAAGCGCCGCCCGGGAGAACGAGGATTGCTCGTCCACGTGGCACGTAACGCCCATTCGCTTGCAGTGCCGCCTGAAATCTCGCGGTCTTCTCTCAAATACTGTATTAGCACTAGAGCTATGATTAGTGGTAGCTCCATTACCAAGGATTGCGGTACCCGTAGTATTAGTGGTATTACTAAATGCACTATCGGTACTAGCGGATCTCGGTACTCTCGTACACGTTATTAAAAACGATTCGTCACAATCCAGACCCGAGCCGCATCGCGGAGATAAAATTCTCATCAGGCCACTCACGACGTTCTCGCATTGGATTCGCCACGTGTCTTTCCATGGTAAGGCCACGATTCCCGCGCGAGGAGACCGTTCCGTCGCTCCTCTGTCTGTTCCTATATCGGGGCTGAGTATAACGGCGTGATCATATAACCTAACCACTTCATCTAATATCTCGCCAACCCCCAAGTCGAGAAAATGGCATGGAATATCTACGAATCCCGGGCAGTAGCTCAATATTTTCGGGGTTAATAGCCCTAAATCATCACGTGACCGACGGATCAAACCATCTCTTGTACATGTTGTAAGGCTCTCCCAAAAATCCGACATATGCAGCCTCTCGTGACAATAGCGGGGCCACAGCTCTCTCCGGCACAGGCGATCAAGGCTGCGACTGGTGCAGGCCAGCCCTGCGATTGCTCTTGCAGGCAATTTCGTCGCATGGATGATTTTGTAAAGAACCTCTGGCGGTAGGACTTCCATTTCACAACGGCGATAACGGGTGTCCGTGAATCACGGATCTCGCAGCAAATCTTACAGATGACTAAGGTTTTCTATAGAGTGCAGAACTTCTACTACAACATTTCGAACGCGGGTATCTTCCTTGAGTACAGCAATGATTTAATCCACTTTCTATTTTCTTATTCTGGTTATACCATTCGTCGCTTCCTGTGTTCACCCGTGACAAGCCCAGAACTCGTCTCTAGAACTTTCCTGAATGTAGTGGTCTAACTCAACCCAGTCCGAAGCAACTATGGCCGACAACAGAAGGAAGCACGTAGCAGCACGTGAAACAGCACAGCAGCATGACGTTACGTCAAGCGACTTGACAACACGAACCACCGTTACACATTTCAAACCGCCATAGCCCAGACAAGCTTGGGCTCGTTTCACAGGTCGTAATCGGGCCCACAAGCAGCACAGAGGTACCCACCCGACAAGGGGTTTGATCTGGGTGAGAGTTTTTTTCTGCACGATCGCACTCGCCTTCTCTGTGACTTGTCCTCTGTGGGTGCTGCTGAAGCAACTTGGATCTATGCCGCATATGGCACGATTGGAAAGATGCCTGATGGATTCGTGCAAAATGCAACATGCGGCTCGAAAATGGGGTTGCACGCTCGTTTCGTCGAGTATATGTAGTAACCATTTTGCACCCTCTCGAAAGGCATTAAAAATTCGTGAACGCTCCGCGACCTGTTTCGTCTGTAGACGACAATTTTCGCGAGCCCACAGCTAGGTTAGTCCAGCAGGTGAGACGTCACTTCACCCAGCTGGGGGCTGAACAACGTTCATACCAGGGCCTGAATCAAAACGTGCAAATTTGTCCAGGCGGCGAAAACGTTCCTGCCTGCCACCATCACCACCACCACAGGCCACCTGCAGCTCACGGTGTAAACAAGTACACTAAATAAATTATTCATTACAAAATGCCCTAGACATATGCACAGGATGCTGCAAACAAAACCGGCTAAATTAATAAATGTATTTTTTATTCCTCGCAATATTAATAACTGTGTTTAATTATTGTAATTAAAATTATATTTGTTTTGAAAGTGTATTGGCGGTGGATGTCAAAATGTTTTAGTGCTTACTTTGTGTAGACTATAATGGGGTAGCCCAAAAGGGGTATAACCCAATTAGGGTTAGTACTTGTACCCAACTTCTGCTCAATGCATTCATTCTCGTTCAGTATTCTGACATGGTTTCAGAGCAGGTCCTTCCCTGGGACCGTTTTTTTTAGGGCCCACCACAGAGCTGCCCCACTCACTGCCCTGCCGCCCTGCCTTAACAGCGCGCCGCCCTGCTGGCCTACGCGCCGCCCCTTGCAGCCCGTCGCGCCGCCCTTAGCAGCCCGCGAGCTGCCCCTGCAGCTCGCACGCTGCCTCTGCAACCCGCGCACCGCCCCTGCAGCCCTGAGCACCGCATCTGCAGCCCCGCGCGCCGCCCCTGCAGCCCGCGCGCCGCCCCTGCAGCCCACACGCCGCCCCTGCAGCCCCGCGCGCCACCCCTGCAGCCCCGAGCGCCGCCCCTTGCGGCCCGCCCGCCGCCCCTAGGCCCGCTCGCCGCCCCTTGCAGCCTGCGCGCCGCCCCTTGCAGCCTGCTCGCCGCCCCTTGCGGCCCGCTCGCAGCCCCTTGCATGCCCGGCTCCTGCCCGCTCTGCTGCTGGCCACCCTAGCCGTGCGCCGCCCTCCCCTGCCTGCGTGCTGCTCTGCTGGTAGCGCACCACCCTGCTCTGCCCACTATGGCTTCTCTCCGTGTCCTCACGTTCGATCATGAGGGCCGTCCGATTCAGTTCGACACGTGGCTCGACGACTTATGCTGTACCTACTGAGCGAATCTAGAGACATCGTTTCGTTGTTTGACCACACGTCTGGAGCCTCTCTCGCCCCTCTTGCCACAGCTGACAGTGCGACTCGCTCACAGTGGCTTACCCGTGACGCTGCTGCTCGCTTAGCCATTCGCAACCACCTACCGTTAGCCGAATGCGCTCACTTCGGACAGCACAAGACAGCTAAAGCACTGTACGACGCTGTAGACGCTCGTTACTCCTCCCCTGCCACTGCTGCTCTAGGCCGTCTCATACTGCCCTACCTGTTTCCCGAGCTGTCCGCCTTTGCCACAGTAGAGGACCTCGTTACCCACCTCTGCACTAGCGACGCTCGCTACCACGCTGCCCTCCCGGCAGAGTTCCTTGACAAGAACCTGCCCCCGATGTACACCACTCTCTACTTCATAGTCACCCGCCTCCCTGACTCTCTTTGCGCAGTCAGGGACCACTTTCTCGCACTTGACCCCACAGACCTCACTGTTGACCTGCTCGAGCCGCAACTCCTTTCAGCTGAGACTAGTGTAGTCGCTGTCGATGCTGCTTGTGGCAATCCTCGCACGCCCTTCTTTGAGGGGTGTTCCCCCTCCCACCTTGCCCCCTCCTACGCCTCTGCTGCTGCTGTTTGTTGAGAGATGTAGGTCTCTTAGCATTTCTGAAATTCCCAGTTAGACTATACAGTATCAAAACAGTACAATAGTGGGTCTATCGAACTTGATGACGTCAACATTCGATTTCAGCTGACTAGTCAAAGTAGCTCTAGGCCTAGGTCAACAAACAGCCACTTTCATTAGTGTCTACAGGTCAACACCCCTAGAGTGACGAATAGATACATTTGGCTACAGTACACGAACAGGTACTTTACTCTAGCTATATATTTTGTATGCTTGTCATTTTATAATATACCGGATACCTGATATCTGATTTCAGAGATATAGATCCTGAAACATATCATTACATGGGCTTACATTAGTCCAGACAAAGCCTCCTACACTGGATTTAATTCATACAAGTCTTCCGCTACCAATACTTTGTCTTTAATCCAAGATACTACGATCCTGAAAAGGGCTATGTCCCTTAACCAATTCTACGGGTTTCCAACCCATTCCATCATGGTATGAGAGCAGTTTTGGATGAAGACAACTCTCAACTACGCTTCCAACATACAACAATGGCTGCAGCAGCAGTCAATAATGGTGTACTCGCACAAGACCATCAACAAGCACATCAGCAAACTGCTATGAGCTTCGTCAAAGTGACCAAAATCAAGACGACAACACTATTTGACAGCAAGGATTTCTATACCTGGAGTTTTGAATTCGA